ATTGTTGTTTGGCGGGTCCGGGCTGGGGATTTGAACCCGCCACCTTAGGTGTACGTGGCTGGCGCCTTAGCCGGTTGAGCTATAGGCGCCGAGCCTAGTGTTGTGTTTTTCTTCCATGTTTGGATTTCTGGGTGCCACAGACATTTCTTGGAATAAGATCTTTTTTTTAGGTCTGCTCTTCATTGTACTCTAGGCTAGGTACAGTGAGAGAAGTGCAAGACACTTTAGCCTTCAAGGATCTTAAATGTGTAGAAAAGGGCTAAGGTGAAACAATATTTTTTAGTTGTTGCTTTGTGTGAAGCACTTAATATGCCTGTGAGGTAGATTATGTCATTCCCATTATATAGATGAAGAGAATGAGACTTTGTGAGTAGGCAGTACAGTATAGAAGTTAAGAATTGATTCTTGGGCTGGGTGCAGTGGCTCATACCTGTAATCTAGCACTCTGGGAGGCAGAGGTGGGTGGATTGCTTGAGCTTCCGAGTTTGAGACCAGCCTGAGCAAAAAGTGAGACCTCCTCTTTACTAAAAATAGAAGAACTGAGGCAAGAGGATCACTTAAGCCCAAGAGTTTGCAGTTGCTGTGAGCTATGATACCACGGCACTCTTCCTAGGGCTTGAGACTCTGTCTCAAAAAAAAGGATTCTGAAGCTGGACTTCTGGAGTTTGAAGTAGCCCTGCTACTTACTAGCTGTGTGATTTTGAGCACATTACTCAAACTCTCTGTTTGCCTACCTTTTAAAAAAATTTTTTTTATTTTTGCCTACTCCTGATTAAAGCATATTTCTTTTTCCTTCCTTCCTTCCTTTCTTTCTTTCTTTCTTTTTTCTTTTTGAGACAATCTCACTTTGTTGCCCTCCGTAGAATGTTGTGTCAACTTCAAATAGCATATAGCAACCTCAAACTCTTGGGCTTAAACAATTATCTTGCCTCAACCTCCCAAGTAGCTGGGACTACCAGTGCCTGCCACAATGCCCTGCTATTTTTAGAGATGAGGTCTCACTCTGGCTCAGGCGGTCTGGAACCCAGGAGCTCAGGCAGTGGAACCTGCTTCAGCCTCCCAAGTGCTAGGATTACAGGCATGAGCCACCACACCCGGCCTGCCTACATTTATTTTTAATGGGAGTAAAGTATATAACACGAATTCACTCTTTTAACCATTTTTAAGTGTACACAGTGACACTAATTGCATTCACATTGTTGGCAAATGTGAAGGGTTGCTGTGAAGATTAAATGATTTAATTCATATAATCCTTTTAGAATAATGTCTGGCACATGGTCAGTATTAGATGTGTTATTGTTGATGTTGTTAGATTCAATTTAATCTAATTAATTTCTAATCTAATTTAATTTGCCTGCAATCAAAGGATTTGATCTCAGGTCCAAAGCCTGACAGGTTCTAGTAGCAGTAAGAAAATTGTGAGAGGTTCTAGTCAGGGTATTAAGAACAGCTTTAAGGAGGAACTGGCATTTAAGCCGGATCTTGAAAGTCTTTTTTTTTGAGACAGAGTCTATGTTGCCCTTGGTAGAATGCTGTGGTGTCACAGCTCACAGTAACCTCCAACTCTTCGGCTTAAGTGATTCTCTTGCCTCAGCCTCCAAAGTAGCTGGGACTACAGGATTATAGGCACCCACCACAATGCCTGGCTGTTTTTTTTGTTGCAGTTGGTCATTGTTGTTTAGCTGGCCCGGACCAGGTTTGAACCCGTCAGCCTTCGTGCATGTGGCCAGTGCCATAACCACTGTGGGCACCAAGCCTTGAAAGTCCTTAATAGCATAATCTCTGTGGGTTGGTTAGCATTTTGACAATTCAAGATAAAAGGGGAAGGAAGAACATGCACTAAACACTTCCAGACCAGCTAGATAAGCTGTGAGGCTATAGAGATGTATGAGGAACATTAACTGCCCACAAAAAGTTTGCATTTAAAAGACTATGAAAAATGTTGATTAGTACAGAACAGTGTGAAATACTATTAACAAAATTATAGGCAGAACAAAAGCTTAAAGATAGAGTGAAGAAGCTGCCCTGCCCTTCTGTTTCCCTAACATGGAATGATTGTGGTTTAGAATTCACTGCATCCAGGACATTCGGGTTAGTGGAAGTGTATATAGTAAAATATTTTCCCCCTCAACTGCCTCCCCACCTCCGACTTCCCAGAGATTGTTAGAGTGGATAGGAGGGATTATATACCATGGGAATGGAGTGAAGGAGAGTTATGAAATGAGGTGTTTACCTGTACACAATATCTGGGGAAAAGAATTGACACTATGTAGATATTGAGAGCTAATTAAATGAAAGAGGAAAACTAGGCTTTTTTTTTTTTTTTTTTTTTTTTGAGACAGAGCCTTAGGCTGTCACCCTGGGTAGAGTGCTGTGGCATCATAGCTCATAGCAACCTCCAATTCCTGGGCTTAAGCGATTCTCTTGCCTCAGCCTCCCAAGTAGCCAGAATACAGGCGCCCGCCACAACGCCCACCTATTTTTTGTTTGTAGTTGTCATTGTTGTTTGGTGGGCCCAGGCTGGATTCAAACCCTCCAGCTCTGGTGTATGTGGCTGGCACCTTAGCCACTGGAGCTACAGGCGGCTGAGCCAAAAACTAAGCTTTTTGTTTTTTTCTTAATGAGACAGAGTCTCAAGCTGTCGCCCTGGATAGAGTGCCGTGGCATCACAGATCATAGTAACCTCCAACTCCTGGGCTCAAGCGATTCTCCTGCCAGGTCTCTCAAGTGACTACAGGCGCCTACACAATGCCCAGCTATTTTTTGGTTGTAGTCATCATTGTTTGGCGGGCAGGGCTGGATTCGAACCCACCAGCTCAAGAGTATGTGGCTAGTGCCTTAGCTGCTTGAGCCATAGGTGCGGAGCCAGCAAGGTAGCTTTTTCATAGCCTGAGCCTTTTTTTTTTTTTTTTTTTTTTTTGTAGAGACAGTCTCATTATATCTCCCTTCGTAGAGTGCCGTGGCATCACACAGCGCACAGCAACTTCTAACTCCTGGGCTTAGGCGATTCTCTTGCCTCAGCCTCCCCAGTAGCTGGGACTACAGGTGCCTGCCACAATGCCTGACTATTTTTTTGTTGCAGTTTTGTTTTATTCCTCTAAAAACTGCTATCTGCCTGGGGACCCATAGCTCAGTGGTTAGAGCGCCAGCCACATGTTCCTGGGGCTGGTGGGTTTGAACTTAGTCTGGGGCCTGCTAAACCACACACACACACACACACACAAAAGCCGGATTTTGTGGTGGATGCCTGTAGTCCCAGCTACTAGGGAGGCTAAGGCAAGAGAATTGTTTGAGTCCAGGAGTTTGAGGATGCTGTGAGTTATGATGGCACAGCACTCTACTGAGGGTGACAAAGTGACACTGTCTCTATTAAAAAAAAAAAAGGCTATCACTTGCATACCTTCTCTATTTATGCCTAAGTACATATTACATACCGTATGTCTGATTACTTTGTCTTAATTTTTGTTTTTTTAAGAGAACCTCTCTCTGTTGCCTA